ATATATATAGATATAGATATAGATTCAAAGAGTGATTTTCGCAATTTTCATTTCACATGGAATTCAAAGAATGATTTTCGGTCAATAAAAACTTCAACCAAATTTGAAATCAAATTGTAATTTTCAACTTTGTCTTGTATGATGATAAGATAAGTGCAAAGTAGTTAAGAAGTGGAAATTTTTTGCTGTGATAGCATCATACTCACCGTATATATCTATACTAATACATATCATGCGATTAAAAACAGATTAATATATAAATTATTATTATTAAAATTTTGACGTAAAAAGAAATAAATATGGATTGAACCATTAATAAGTAATTAAAATGTTATTTGAGATATTAATACAAATAATAAGCAATTTTCATTAATGAGTTATCCAATCCAATATTATCTCTATACCATTAATTGTATTATCTCAACAATTAATTTTGATTTGAGACTACGATTTTTCGTCAATAAAAAACTACCACGGCGAGATCATATTTAACCTTTTATCATTAAGATCAGCATCTATTATTATATAACACAAATTAATATAAATATTTTAATCAAACAAATATTTATAATATAATCCATTATGATAAATTATTGAAAAATCACGCAATATAATCCATTAAATGTACTTGATTCAGTTATTGTTAATTCCGTAAATTTTTATTTATATAATCTTATATTTGAAATATTTGTTAACATTTGTATTAATTTATATATTATATCATGGCATTCTACCAATTTTAAACTAATATACAGTAGAAGTAAAAAATAAAATGTTCAAATTTTCACATTCGTGCAACATTTAATAAAAAAAAATTATTCAACGACATTTTATAACGATGACAAATATAATAACACTAAAATTTATTATAGAATTCAGAATTCAACGACATGGAGTGAAATTAAAATTCATAATAATCAAACTCTAAATATCATAAATATCTCGTGCGACATTTAATAAAAAAAAAATTATTCAACGACATTTTATAACGATAACAAATATAATAACACTAAAATTTATTATAGATTTCGGAATTCAACGACATGGAATGAAATTAAAATTCATAGTAATCAAACTCTAAATATCATAAATATCTCTTACTCATTGCTAATGTTGAGGGAAAATATCACCATCTTGAGGGAAAATCCCATCATATCTGATAACATGAGTTTTTCCATGAAGCACAAGTTTTCATATGTTGATTATGATATCTTTCTTCCCATGATTAAATTCAACGACATAGTTGCTGATTGCATACATCTCGCCTTCGTTTAGTACACTTCGAAATGCTCCCATATGTTGCCTTTAATAAATGTACCCTACCATATAAATTTATAAATGTGAATTAAAATATTTTTTAAAATTATATAAATTTGATCTTACAAATAAAAATATTTACCTTTTCATCATGAAACAGTATATGGAATGCGTTCCAGCTCTCCCGTTGGGATGCGTTTATATTATTAGGACTGCTCTCAAGTGCAAAAAAGGTTTGTTTCTCCTACTCACGGAATCGAGTGTATCCCAGACTGGCGACATTATATTATCGATGTGTTCTGAAATTTATCTCTTTTTTGTGAATTATTTTTTTTTTAAAATTATATAAATTTGATATTACAAATAAAAATATTTACCTTTTCATCATAAAACAGTATATGGAATGCGTTCCAGCTCTCCCGTTGGTGATGCGTTTCAACTATTAGGACTGCTCTCAAGTGCAAAAAATGTTTGTTTCTCCTACTCACGGAATCGAGTGTATCCCAGACTGGCGGCATTATATTATCGATGTGTTCTGAAATTTATCTTTTTTTTTTTCTCTGAACTCTGTGAATGAGGTGAACAGATAATAGTGGTAGTGCATATTAATTTATACCAAACAACCGTTTTTGAACTCAAGATTCGCATAATTATGTAATGGTAATTATGGATCCAATTCTGATATATATTCCATAGAGACTTATCTCTTTAAGGTGACTTATCCACATATCCCAATAATATCTCTAATCAATTAATATTTGAATTCAAGTAGGACTTTTTTTAAATTTGTGGTTTCTAAATTATCTCGTTAAGGTGACTTATCCACATATCCCAATAATATCTTTAATCAATTAATTTTTTTTTTTTTTTTTTTGGTCAAAAGTTTCTAAAAAGGTATTTTAACAACAATATTTTTATATATAGAAGATTTAGAATTGTTTCATAAATAATTAACACATTTTTTGCATAAGAATCTCTAAATTTGTTACAAAAAAAGATATGATTTAAATTTTGGTAAAAAAATAAAATATGATACCAAAAAAATGGGATTCAAATTTTTCCATAAGAATCTCCAAATTTGTTACCGAAAAAATAGGATTCAGATTTTGTTTCTAAAGATTTACATGTGTTTTTTCGAACTTTCCATTAATAGTAAGTCAAACATTATATTTATTTGGTCAGACTTTCTATTAATGTATTTTTCCAACAACCTCTTTATATATATATAGATATAGATTCAAAATTTGTTAAATTTAAGTGGCAGACTCTCATGTTTTGAAATCTTACATTTTACAATATCATGCTTTGTATTTAGGTCCGAATAAAAAAATTTAGAAAAAAATTTGTCTTGAAAAGTACCATAAATAATTTTTTCACCATACACTATCGTCTTCCATTAATCTTTCTTTCATTACCAAATTTGTCTTGAATTTGAAGATCACATAAATCTTTATCTACTTAGTTTATTCTAATAAAGACTTATCTCATTCATCATATATTTTTTTTTATTTTTTCAAGTTGGTTAATTTTAGCTCATTTTTTAGTATGTGTCTTTGTTTGCGTAATGAATAATGATGAACTAGAATTATATATTATAATTATATTGATAATATAATCAATGTAATATTAACTAACATATCTCTTATCTTAATTCTTATCAATTTTAGGCCTTATCTTCTTTTTTCAAGTTGATAAATATTAGCACATTCATAATACTTTTTTATTTTTTCAAGTTGATAAATTTTAAGTATAACTAATAATGTTGAGTACAAAGATTTTTTTGAGAATTTGATATAAAATACCAATGTATAGTATTTTTTTTTATGAAACTTCCCATTTATTTATTTTGTATATACTTACAATAACTATACTATTTTACGTTTTTAATCACATTATTTTTTCATGTACCCGTGTAGTACGATTAGTTTTTAATATATGTTAATAAATATAGTACATAATATATTTTTTAATAAATTACAAAATACACAGTCACTGAATTTTTACCAAAAGGAACCCACAGTAAAAAAAGCGTTGTATAATACACATAATTGTAATACTTCGTATTCAAGAAAAAAGAAATAGCCGACCAGCTTTCCAGTCGGTTTTGTTTAATTATACAAGTTGCTAATGATTGCTTATTTGTGATTTTAATCGTTATTTGTCTAGTATTAATTTCAATTGCGCAACATACTATGTTGGAATTTCCAATTAAAAATACAAACGAAAACTAATATTATTAGTACAACAACATATCAATCAGAGGAGAACATGATAATATAAAAGGTAGACCATCTAGAAACGAAGCCTAGAATAAATTTGAATAACCAAATTCTATGAAAATAAAAATAGCTTGTATCTCATCCATATTCTTGGGCGTACTTTTGGGGCTCAACTGAATATCTCTCCCTTTTGTATCATACCAACGTAATTAGGTTGTGGGCGATTCATAGAGCGATATGATCGAACTAGGTGAACCGACAGGTCAGTCAAACAACAAAAACACCAGAGGTCGTAGAATTATTAGGTTGATGATGACCTTGCAGGTGAGATAGCTCTCCAGCAGGTTGAGCTAGAGCTCTCGACTAGGGCTGCACACGAGTCGAACGGCTCGCGAGGGCTCGAGTCAAAGGTCGGCTCGAGCTCGAGTTTGATCGAATTCAAGTCAAGCTCGAGCGGCTCGAGCACAAACTCGAGTCGAACTCGAGCCCATATTTTACATTGTCGAGTGGCTCGTGAGCGGCTCGATATATATGGTAAATTATTAAAATACCTCTTGTATATATATGTTTCATGATATTAATATATGTACATAATGGTAATTTGACAAAGTTGCTTGAAAATTTTTGAACCGAACTCGAGCCGAGCTCGAGCTATTGTATTTTTCTATCGAGTCGAGCTCGAGCAGCTAAAAAAAAAATTCAATCTTGCTCGAAAAAGGCTAATGCTCGACTCGGCTTGACTCATTTGTATCCCTACTCTCATATACCCTGATGGAACTCGACCTGAAGGCCCATAGGTCGATGTACGACCTAAGTGGTAAACTAACTCACTGAAGGTGGGAGAAACCTAGTTTAAGCGAAACCGAGTTGGTAGCACAATTAGCCACCTAATGAGATGGGCTAATGTGACCATTCCACATAATGGATAAGGAAGACTATAATTAAGATAGAGCACGTGGACAAGACCACACGGACTAATAAAATTGAGCAGTTGGACACTCGAGCAGTTTGACGAGTAGCTTGAGCACTCGGGCATTCCAGTCAAATAGTTTTGGGCAACTTGGTAACACATCTATATAAATGGGTGACGTATGATCATTTACAGTCTACACACTCTAAGCAATATGTACTTACATACCTTGTATACTTCACCTTCTTCTTCAAACACCGACTTGAGCATATGAGCTTCTACGCGCTGTTTTGCAGGTGTTTGAACCGGTCAAGAGCAAATCAAGTGCCGTTCAACTCTGTTGAGGTCGTTTGCACTACCAAACCCATTCTCTTCTTTTGGGCCTACTTATTTGGGCTCAATTGATTTTCTTCGTTTTGTATCGAGCTATTTTATTTTTTGGGCCATCATTAGGTGGTTGTTAGTTCAACCCAGAAAAAGAAAAAGAAAAAGAAAAAAAAAGTGTGCTTTATACTATAAAAATTATTAATTTATATACTTAAGTATCCGTACATCAATTTGAAATTGTATAAATTGTTCCTAATTTGTATTATTTTTTCTACTTTTATTTATGTTTTAGATAGAAAACTTCAGCAGCTTGATGAACCGTTCAGCACAAACCCAACTCGGGCCCCGTCGGTAAGAAACCTAAATATGTTATTTCTCCCTTTGGATTAGGTTAAGGATTCGCACATTTGAATTGAAGGTACTCGTTTTTATTTGTGCTTCTTATATTCTCTCGGTATGTTTTATTGTAATTTGCAAACTAAGTACTGATCTTCATTCTATTTTGTTTTTCCGTTTTCAATCAAATTTCGCCTGAATATGGCTGGGGTAATGGCTATTGCGTTTTTCATTGTATTGGCTCTTCAAATTCATTCTCTGTTTCGTTTCTAGATGTCTGCAGCTTTCATGTTATCTTGATCTTCAATTTGGAATTGTTGCGAATTTATTTAGATACACGATTCAATTGGATGTTCTGCTGCTACTATTAGCGATTTTTGTGTATTTGATTGGAAATAAATGTTGGTGGCTGGTACATCTCAGGTTGCGAGGGAGGGGGATTTCTCAAGTAGAAAAGGAGAACAGGAAGATGGTTGTGATATGCATCATTATNNNTGATTAATTGACTGGTTTATGTAGGAAGACGGGCACTCTGATGCTCATGCTTCTAAAGAGAAGAGAGGTACGAGTCCAGTGACAGACGAAGCAGATGTTTCTTCTGAGGCCTGTAAGAACAAAATATCATCTTCTGTGGATTTCGAGATCCACACTGAGTATGAGTACGAGTGTGAAGATATAATTCCACCACGACTAACTGCCCCGTTGACTAGAAAACAATTTAGGGTATATTTATTTCCTTTATCTTTTCTTTTCTTAGTTTGATATGATGCTACTCTTTTAATTAGACTCGAGAATGATGAAAATTCGTTTTCTAGTATTTGTCTGGAGAGACGAGTGATGATGATGAAGATGGCACAAAGTTCTATGGGGAGAGCATTGTGTACGACACTCCCGGTACTCGTGATATGACGGTAACTTTTCTTTTACACCTTAAAAAAAAGATTTCTTTAAAACATCCCTCATACTTAGAAATAATATGTCACGATTGGCTGGACTTCACCATTTATGTTTTTTTAAAAAAAAAATTCAGGGTGCTGAGCGTGCCTTGGTTGCGCTTGGATACAAAAAGGGCACCGAGAAGTACATGATTCGATATAGAACGGTAAAATGTGATACATCTTGATTGATAATCAAGGTTTTTGACATATCCTTTAACCAATTGAGTTAAAAAATATGTTTACGTCGCTTTTGCAGCTTCGCGAGGAACAAATACGATATGAGAGAAACTGTGAGGACCTTGATAGCATTAAGAATTTGCATGTCGAAGCTGTATTGGACGAAGATGGCAACTTCTGTTGGGGTAGTCTTGGACCGTAAACTATATATGTCGGTAATATTATTTCTATGTCATGTGTTAGGGTAGGATGTTGGAGAGGAAATTATTCCTTCTGCCCTTTTTTTTTTTTTTTACTACAACCTGCTTCGCGTGAAATTATTTTCTACCCCATCTCTAGATTAATAGGATGTGAATACAGTAACTTTCTTTGTTTTATCTGTTTCTTTTGTCCCCTTTTGGCGTTGTTCCTCGTCATGGGAAACAGACTATTGTCTTCTCTTTGTGGAGCTTTTTGGTTTCCTTATTTTCCGATCAGGCGGTTTTTGTTTGGATTAGCTCTCTTGTTGTCAGCTGTTCTGACCAAGAATGTATTACACAAGATAGAGATGGATTTAGGTGTTTGATGGTAAACAAAGTCTTTCCCCTGTAATTGGATCTAATAGACGTTTTCAGAGTTTTCCGCTCTTGATCGAGATCCTCTCCTTCCCTTGTGCCATTTGCTGTAATGTGTTCTGATGGCTCATTCTTATGCGTCAAGTATTTTTTTCCTTTTTTAAAAAAAAAATATTAGGTTTATAGGCGTACCTTGATCACTATCATAAAGGTTTATATATAAATGATTTGAAAAATGTGGAATAGGATAAAGGTGTGCTGTTTTCTAATGTTGAACCATCAAGTTATTGCTCATTTTATTTCCAATGTGCAGTGCTAGTCATTCTGTTGCATTTTGTTTTTACAGAAATCAGGTTTGTTTGAACTTTGAATAGCAGTTGGAGAATACAAAGTTACATTGAATGATGCGGCTTATTTGCTTTCATCAAATGAAAGTGGTTACTTATTTGCTCTCCAATCAAGCATACATGGATTGAGCTTTTGCATTTTGATGCCGAACAGCACAATTATTCGCTTGAATAAACTGTTTGCTATCGAACCCGTCAACATTTAAAATTATTTTAAATGAAAATAGATAATTTAAATAAAATGGAGATTTACAATTTGTTTATCAATTAGTTTCAACATTTGAATTTTTAAATTGTTTAGATATTTAAGTAACACCTTTTATTTAAATTTATTAGAAAAAGTATTATGTGTATATATATATATATATATATATATATATATGAAAGTATTTATAAATTAAAATATGAACAAATCACTGAATAAAATAACTTGATCGTTTCGACAACGCTCAAGTTCTAAGAACCTTATATTTACTGTACATTAATAAAGATTATAATAAAATATTTTCTTCACATAAATATTAATAAAATGTATATAAATATTCATAAATCATTAAACATGTTGTCGTAAAAGTATTATTAATCTGATTATTTGGAATTTGGACTACATCGTATTCACAGAATAAAGTATTTTTTATGTTATTATGTGGTCCTTGTCACGTTGGTTAGGTATGTTCACAAAATCGAATTTTTTAGATGCTAATCATGGATCCAATGGAAGTTTATATCATAAATTTGAAATGCACGTGTATAATTGAGATTTGTTTCGATTTTGACTGTAATTTTTATTTACTCGAATTCGTGTACAATTGGGATACTGGTTATAAAGATTAATCATGTTTTTATATTGATTTGATTTTAATTTCATACTATGTTTATCTTATCATTCTGTTACAAAATAGATTCACAATTGCACGTCTCCTATTCACCAAAATATGATATTTATCTTAAATAAATATTAATAATAATTTGTAAATAATATTTTTTTAGTTCTGATTGTATCTTGCAATTTTAAATGATATTTTGACAAATGAATGTTTAGATTTATCGAATTCTGATACCAAATGCACCGCGAGNCAGAAACTGAGATTTCTATAAGATAAAAAAATATAACATTGTATTATATAGAAACTGATATTATTGAAATTATATTAACATGAATTCTTTTTAATTAGGGTATATCATCCCTCTATATATTAATTCAGAATGTGCTGAGCCTAAGTGATAGACTTGCATGCTTTTAGATCCTATGTAGCAAAATTAGATGGTTCATTATTAGACTTGTGTAGATTTTAATTTACTTCCAATCCAAAAATAATTAGGTTCAGATTATCCATAAATATATTGATTATTTATGGTCATGTTGCATGTATTAATTGCATTTTAATATTATTTCTTATTATAACCATTGAATTGTAAATATATTTTAAAAGTTAATAACGTTTGTATTTTTAAAAACCACGAAATCAGGCAGCATTTAACGCTGCCCAATTTATATAGAAAATATAAAAACAAATTTTAATAAAACTTTCTAAAAAAGGAATGCAATTAATATTGCTGAATTTTTTTATTGCTATTTTAAGTAAACTAGTAAGCATTCCGTGCGATGCACGGAGGGATTAGTACCTTAAAACTTTTTTCTAAAAACTTTATTTTAATAATATATTAGCATGTTAACTTGTTTATATTAACGGTGAAATTTTTCGAAAAACTTTGAAAAATTTCGTCCATTCTATAAAAAAGTGTTGTAGTTTGATAAATTTCGACAACCAATTACCGTGTGATTCTCCGAAAAAGTGAACAAATTTTCACATACGATTGTATAGTAGGAAATTTCCAAAATAATATGTATGGAGCCTTAAAAAATGAGTAATTAGATAGTATTATTGATGAATTTTATGATATAAGACTTCTAATTAGAGTATTGAATTTTATGATGAAGACTAGTACGAATCCCGTGCGATGCACGGGTAAGAGATATTTATCAATATTATAAATAAAAAATGCTCATTAAATAATATTTATAAATTAAAATATAAAAAATAAAGATGTAATACAATTCACCTATATTAATTTATTAAAAATGTTATATGAAATTTAGATTGTGCAAATTTACATAAAACATGTCTATTTAAAATTAGTATACCAACCGTACGTTGCACGTACTAATAACAAATTATATTATATTCATTTCAAAATAGGTGCATTTTAAATTTTTTTTATCAGAAAATCGAGTCAACTACAATGTAATTCCATAAAATAATTATTTTTGTAAAATTTTATCACATATTTAAAAATATATGTGAATAATAAGTATAATTATAAAACATATATTGTTTCATTAATAAAATAAATTTAGTTTTGTGTAAGATATCCAACTAAAAAAATTTAAGTACTTGAGTAATTTATTAAATTATATATAATTGATTATTTCATTTACGTCCAAGTTAACATTGACCTGTAAGTTTTGAATAATTACTTATTTGAGTTTTACATTTGGAACCCAAATTTAGAGTACACAGTAAAATATATATATATATATATATATATATCACATTTTTCTAGATTTGTTGTCGATTACCTTATTGTTCAAATTTACTAACTAATTCTAGATATATATATCACATTTTTCTAGATTTGTTGTCGATTACCTTATTGTTCAAATTTATTAACTAATTCTCTAGAATTAAATTACAAATTTTAAATTTTACTAAACAATATTTGTTCAAATATATTTTTGATTTTCAAGAAAAATACATACCAATTTTTTGAATTATTTATATCTTATAGCAATTTATTATGGGAATATATGCTAATATTTGAAAATCATATCACCTTGATATCGTAACAAACCAACCTAAAATTCCACTTTCATACTCATACCAAATAAAATTTATACCATTTATTTTGTTTTCAAAATTTCCAACTATACTTCTATCATACCAAATAAAATCCATACCATTTAAATTTGAATATTTCATACCAAAACAAAATCACCCATTTTGTACCATAAATTCGGACATTTATTAATAACAACACAATTCCTACCAAAAATAAATATGATAATCAGATACATCAAATAAAATCGACCGCTTTATACCAAATCCGGAGTTATTAATTTTTTCAATTTTATACATTAAATTGATTAATTAATTTTGAAAGGCGGGATTTTTTTGAAATATACAATATTTATTTATTTTACATGTATTTTAAAATTCATTTTACCATTACGTGTATTATTGACATTAGCATACTTTTTAAAATCATTTTCAAAATTAAGTATTGATTGTAAAATATTTAATTTGTTAATAGGAATTTTGATTTTTATCTTGTTTTTCTTTACATTCTATAAAATAAATTAATATAAATAGAGTAATATATATATATATATATGTCATTAATAATTAGTTATATTTAATACAATTCACTCTGATTTAAACTCAACCCAATAAGAATATATGTAGAACACAATAGTCCAATATTTTATCTTCCTCATAATATTCATGATGCTCCACCAATAACATCTTTCAACTGAGCATAGTAAATAGTATAAAATCCTTTATTCCAACATAACAAATAAGTAAATGGTATATATACAATATAAGAATTTGAGACATTTTATCATATCTCAACAAATGGTAAGCATTCAAGGAATATTGAAATATATATTTTATAAAATAAAACATGGGAGAATTGGTAAACTCATTTTCTGATATGATTGTTTTGTGTGCTTCGTGATTAAAATTTGCAACGAAAAGGCCGAATGAAGACCTCATTATATAGAGACATGATAATTGTATGACATACATTTGGAATTTCCATATAAGTCTTAAGGAAATTTTGTGTTTAATTTCTATATGATTGTTAGGTAAAATAACTAAATTAATGAAAATGTAAGGGGACTTAAACATTAATGGGTAGAAGGGATCTTACACTATAATTACATTATCATTTGTAAATATAACAAGAGATTTGCAACGTAAATAGAAAAATCTTCATTCCCACTAATTGATATTGAGACAATTACGAAATTGAATACATTCCTTAATTATCCATTAGGCTGTAGTAATTGAACACGTAGTTCATAAATTAAGTGAAACATAACAAAATAAAAAAAAAAATACATGTTTTAAGATGGAAAACATCTTACATACATGCATATAATTTTTTTTTTTTTTCAATTGTTAATATTCATTGTACCTCTTAATAATTACTGTAGTAGTCCTAATTTGGTTTTATGCACTCTGCTTTTAAGTTGTAAAAATGACAGTAGCACCAATCTCATCTTGCATCTGCTAAAAAAGACTTATAATCATTAAATAAAATTTGTGAAAAGAACCCACCACAATCAAAATAATAATAATAATAATAATATCAATAATATAGATATAAATATATATATTGTTTCAATAATCGGTAGAATATATAATAAAGATATCAAAATGGTCCTTAAAAATCAGTCAATAAGAAAAAAAAGATTCAAGCTTTTTATATGAAAAATCGGGGAATCTGAAAACCCTTGAGGGAACACTTGAGTACGAAGCTCTTGTTGGACGCCCAATTGTCGAACTCATTTGTCCGTGATTGAGAATCCGTGAAGAAGCCCCTCTTTTTTCCCTCTCCCTCCGCTCGCCAAATCCACATGGAGACTTCTTACAGGTCGCCCAATCGTCGGTCTGGTCAGCGCTAGACGGAGCAAATTCCCGACCG